GAGCCACAGAATCTTCACGCAGGCATTCGGAACCACGTGCCTTTCTTCGCACGTGCCTGCTCTGTCTGCACGTGGAGGGGCCGGGGCGGGCCGGGGCGGGAATAGACGGCGTGCGTTGGCCGTGGTATCGGCGCGCACCAGGCTTCAGCGCCAGCTGGGGGGGGGGCGATTGGGGCAGCGGCAGAGGTGCAGGTTGGGCAAACGCCGAGTTGGGTAAACGGCAAAGGAGAATGTAGGAGTGGGGAAGGCAAAGGAGAAAGCAGGATTAGAGATGGCGAAGGAAAATGCAAAAATGGAGAATGCATAGGAAATTTATAGACAAAGGAGTATTACTAAATGGAGAAGGTATAAGAGAAAGGTAAAATAAAGAAGGCAAAAGGAGAAAGCACGAGTAAAAACGGCAGAGAAGAATGCATAAACGGAGAAGGCATGGGAGATTGCAGAAATGATAAAGGTGAATTAATAAATGGAGAAGGCATAGGAGTATCGAGAAATGGAGAAGGCAAGAAGCGAAAGCAGGTACGGGGACGACAAAAGGAGAATGCCGAAATGTAGAAGGAGATTGAAGAATGACAAATGAGAATTAATAAATGGAGAAAGGATAGGAGAATCGAGAAATGGAGGAGGCATGAGGAGAAAGCAGTAGTGGAGACGGCAAAGGAGAAACATAAATGAAGCAGGTATAGGAGAATGCATAAAAAGGGAAGGCAAAGGAGAGGACAAATACGATACAGAAAGGGCGCAAATACTGTACGAAAGGGCGCGGAGGCGGAGATAGTGTGAAGTACGTAGAATGGACAGACGGAGGCTATCAAAAGGAAGAGGAATCGGAGGTTTGGACAGGCCTGACAGAGTGTGGATGAGGGGGAAATTGAGGAAAACACATAGACGAAAAACGCTGGCGAAGGGGTCGCTCAGCCCGAAAGGGGAGGAGGCGGAAGCGGGCATAACTCGCGTTGGGGGCGGGCTGGGTCGAGGTCAGGGCCGGTCGGGGCGGTGTTGGGAAATGGGCGGCGGAGTGGTGGGCGGCCGGGCCACAGATGGTGGGCGGGGTCATCGGAGGGGGCGGAGACGACACGCGTCGGTGAAGATGTGAAGACGGGGAGGAAATTCGGAGGAGAGAGGAGGAAGAGATAACGAGTGGGGGGGGGGGGATCGGAGGAGCGACAGAGTGGAAAGCGGCGATGAAGAAATGTGTGGGTGAAGGAGACGGCAGATGAAGTGATGGAGTGGGAACGTTACTCAAACTCACTGATATTTCCGAGGTTTCTTCGATCAATACCAAGAGAATGCTGGAGCAGTACCTTAACAAACGGGCCACGGACCACGCGCGATCTTTCCTTCCTCGTCCTTGGTTGTCCTCTTATATACACATACACTAGCATGCACTACATTATCGCGTGTCGAGAGACCAGTTGGGATCACAGGCCTTATCGCGGCTGGGGCGGTGACTCGCTCGCGGAGATACCTGGAGAGGGAAATCTCCCGTAGGCAGACCTGTAGACAGGTCGGTGACGGATCTCAGGATCTAGTCGGAGAGGAATGCCAACACGTCCAGAGATATATCATACATAAAAGCATAGCAGCTCGCGCGTCAAGAAACGCAACATAATAAAAGCATCTATATATAATAAAGGGTTAAGACATACTAAACGGAGACGTTTTCAGGACTTGTCGAGAAAGAGAGAGAGAGAGAGAGAGAGAGAGAGAGAGAGAGAGAGAAAGAGGTGGGGATTGCGGGGGCGTGGGGAATGGAACGGCGTGAAAGAAACGGGAACGAACCGTTTCGGAACAGAATGAAGCTGGGGTGAACTCGGGAGCGGCGAATTCCTTAACTGCCCCCGTCACGTGGCAGAAGCACGTGGCACCACGCGTGAGTTTTTCCACTTCCTTCTCACACACTCGGTGACGCAACCACCATTTGGAGTAATCTGAAAGACGGGCTATGTTCTTATCCGAAGGTTTCGAGATGAATAAAAAAAAAAGTGAAGTGTGTGACTGATTTGAAATGTGATTGAATCTCGAGGCATGCGAAGACCAAGATAACAGAACAACATCGTTTTTGTGCAATAGCTTGACAAATACAAGATCTTCTTTTGTTTCCATACCACTCTCCAGGCAAGGTCAGATGTGTTTACTATACATAGATCTGCGATGAATAGCTCGTAACAAACATAGCAATTAGCGTCAATCGTTTACAAAGAACACTCAGCTCAGGCCGATGGGCACATGCCCTTCCATTTAAACCTTAAAACAATAGCAATCCATCTAAGGAAAAAGAAACAAATAATTAATTAATTAAATAATTGTAAATGTGATATTTGAATACATATTGATTAAAAGTATGTTTATTAAAATAATGTATAATAAATTATTTAGTTATTTATAGAGTACACATTTTAAGAGTTATTTAAAGAGTTAAAATATTAAGTAACGTTTCTTGATTACAAGAAAATTATGATTATTCCAGTGAGAAGTGTAAGATAGTTTATAAACTAAATACATAAAAGTGACGAGGATATTTTAAGAATTTCAAATACTAAGGACAATGATTGCAAGACAATAACGGTTAATTCACTTAACCTCTCAAAAGGGCCCTCGCTCTTTAAAGGGCGATAATTACGAGCTGTTATTATTACTATCATAATTATTATTGACTTAAAATAGATTTATAATAGCTGCTTATAGAGCATTCGTTCTTCACGAGCTACACCTTTAGTCAGTTCCTGGATTCGTATATGTAGTTGAATTAGGGAAAGCTTCACCGTTGATTTCAATTGTCATTAAAGGTAACATTTGAAGATACATCTTAGAAAAAAACATTTCGATTCACACTCCTGAAAAACGTCAAAATTGTTTCCACATATTGTATATCTTAGATGGGAATTTCACTTCTTGCTGTATGAATAAAATAATGCTACAAACCACACACGTTTAGCATTGCTTGGAAGTTATATTTTGTACACGAATGTATTCTGTGTGAAACTTATTGGCACAGATTATACTCTTGATCCACTAAAGTTTCACATTATTTTGAGTGCCTTTCTTCTCGTCCTATGCCTGTATATAATTATCCTTCTTGGAAATGTAAGTGGAACCAGGATAAACTCGTTAGAGCTTAAAATAAAACCTGTGCTTTACGCCCAACGTTTGCGTTGGCCACTGTAACCACTATTTTGCACACCTTTCGCAACAATATGAATTTTACGCATGAGGATAACCAAAATTACCGTAAGGTAATAGACGATGTGCCGTAATAAGATGGAGGAGCTACGTATTTGGGTTAGTAGAACGGTAGCGTCGCACTATGCAGTGGTCAAGGTGTGGTCGATGCCTGCCCAGACAGTGCAACAATGTGCGTCTCCATCAGACGAGCACAGTTTTAATATTACGCTTTAACTCTTAATCACATTGTTCTGTACTATTCCTCTGTCAAGAAATAGATGCTCTCTTGGAAAGATAAAAAAATTACTTAGTACGCATCTTAATTTATTTTCGGTGTCGAACATATATGTTAGATTCTTTTAGGAAAAAACATCCTTTCGTCTTTGTCTTTCCAAGTCGCGAAACATCTTGACCCAAATATTTTTTTTAATGAGAAACTTGCCAAGAACCCATATGACTCAGCCTGATGAAAATTTATCTCGGAGGGGTGTATTTAGAAAGCGGAGCTAACAAAGAAGTTGAAGACGCATTCAGAGAAAGGTGACGTTTTGCCGTCAAGTCACTTCTCGCGAAGTAGTGATTTTAACTCGTAGTCAACACGCCCTTCCCCGTGACAATAAACTAGCCAATAACCTTGTTACAAAACTGGAAACTCCGCCGATGGAAGCCAGCTGGTGTTTGCTTGTTCGTCTCGGGTGCAGAACTAGGATAACTAGAGCACAATCGCTCTAGGTCATTTCCTTGGACTCCCGCTGGGGTGCCAACCCTGGCATCTCCGAAGCAAAGCCTCCTCCATCCCTGTCGGGTGTCGCAAAGTCCTCTGGTTTCGCCAGCGCCGTCTGTGGCGACCCACTTCGATAAAGAGAGACGCTGGCTAGCTGCTATGCGGAGAACTTTGCAAGAAGGATGGAAAACTAATCTTGGTGAGGCAGACTTTTCGTTTTGTTGTGGATTGAAGATATTATTTTCTATTTCTTTTGTATTCGAAACGAAACAAAAGTGTTTTTTTCTAATTTTGTATGATTCGAGACGAAACAAATATTTTTTCGTAGAAGAGGATTTCAGTAGGTTTTATTTCTAGACTACAAACGTAATATTTGCTACGAATATTTCGTTTTGAAACGAAACTTATAACATTTCTGTTTCGTTTCAAAACAATATTGAAGTTTACATTCTTTTGTTCCACTTTTTTTTATTTGCAGTCACATCGCTTTTATCGCCTCCTTCATAGCCGGCTCCTTCTATTCTTCTCCATTGTTCTAGGATTGCAGAGCAAGTCATTTTCACAACCCTCAACAAAATAGATTGCTAAAAAATCACTATTAAACTAATATACAAGATGATGGACATTAACACTTTAATACATTCCAAACATTCTATGTCGAAACAATGTTCTACACATCTTTCGTTTTGATTGTTCGTGTCCACACACTCATTTGTTTTTCTTTTTCCTACACTGAATAGAATGCTTTGGATGTCCTTATTTCGGCTTTGAGATCTTGCCAGCAATTACCAATCAACCCCCCTTTCATTGTCAATACTTCAAGTAAATATTTACTGCTAACAAAAGCTAACTATATTTAGAGCCAATAGACATAGGAAGAGGTCATGAACACCAACAAAAGACCATCCTTTGTATCAGGTCTCCTGAGTAAAATCAAACGGTATTAAAATAAGGAAAATCGCCCAAAGTGAGTCAACTACATACTTATCTAAACGCGACTCTCTGTAAGTAAATACTCTTTAATTCAGCATGGAACATTCTAATTTCAAAGGTCTACCCAGCGATTTACTTTCAAACTCAACATTTCGCGCACAAAGCGCAACCTCATAGACTAAGATCCACAACACTGCAGCACTTCTCTTTTTCCTGCCTCGGTGGCGCAGGGAATTGGAGTTGGTCCAAGAACGTGACGTCGAAGGATGCGGGTTCCTGTCTCGCCTACAGCATGAATGTTTTTATCTTGGGGTTGCACTGTGGTTAGCATTCACAATCCACCAATTGCATCTTAACATTAATCCATCCATAATCATTCACCTATCATTATCACTCACCCTTCACTATTACTCTACCGCCTGTAAACTAGCAGAAAGAATTTTCAAATCACCACCGAAATCAATTGCCCCGGAAATATGTGTAAAGGAGGACATAAAATAGTAAGCTTCCTCCTCGTCTATGCTTGGAAATCCGGTAGGACAACTCATTACTATTATTATTATTATTATTATTATTATTATTATTTATTATTATGATTATTATAATAATAATAATAATAATAATAATAATTAATAATAATAATATTATTATTATTAATGATGATGATGATGATGATGATATGATTATCAATTCATCATCACCTTAAACAACATAGTTTTGCTGAATATGTTCTCCGCATGTAAACTTGTTTTGCTTCTTGCTAGGCCCGCTTGCACCCACAATGATATAGGCAGGCATGGCACGTCGCAGGTTAAAGCAGGCTTAAAGCATATCACAAAATTATTAGTTTATAGGGTCCTTGGGAGCTAATTCCCTTTCAGAAGACTGCAGGAATGGTGGATCAGCACAAGTGAAGAATGAAAGACAGAATATGTTTTAGCAAATGTCGAAGCAAGGAGTCCTTTCCTTACACAGAAATGAAGTTACACAGAAAACAAGTTACATCAAAGTGATGTGGAGACCTCCGTCCTAGTAAACGGTAGCTCAGAGCTCAGGGATCCCCCAGGTATCTCTCCCCGTGGGGCTCGTCTCTACCTAAGTCCGGTCTCCCGGCGTGCTCTGATAGTGTATAGCATGTAAATGAAAGTGTTTATGTGTGTGTGTGTGTGTGTGTGTGTGTGTGTAAGGAGAGAGGAAGGAAGGATCGCGCGCGGGTTCTTGTCAGCCTGGCATTGATCGGAGAAACCACGGAAAAATACCAACCAGAGAACTGAACTAGAATTCTCCACCAGTCAATGGCTAAATTTGATATACTTGCGCAACTACTATCGAAAATCCACGACAGTCTGGACTCAACCCCTATAACCTTCCAGTCAGTAACTTCAAAGACAGAGACAATGCTGGTGCTATGCTAAACTATGCCAGTATCACCACCATTACTATCATGTGCTTCTACAGAGAACTATTGAAATATTAGATGACGTTGGTAAATCAATTAGTGAGTTGTTAATAATTTAAAATAATGGGTGGTATGTTCGTAAAGGTTTATTCATTAGTTATAAGTTCGAGTGTCGTAAAGGTCCTTCTTGAAGGGAGGTAATTTTTGTAATAATAATTAATGAGATTAGAAGATATATAATTGTAATAATTGTTAGAAGAAAGTTTGGGTAATTATAAAGTTGATTTAGATTATTATTTTATATTATAATATTAATAATTTTGTTTGTAAAAGTAATTCTTATATACATGAAATGATAATATGTAATTATATGCATTACCTATGATTAGGATGACAATGGTAGATATTATAAGGTTAATAATTATAGTTTTAATAGGTAATTGAAATATTTCACTTGATGCTAGTCTTGTAATGTAAATGAACTACACTAGTATTCCTCCTAGGAAGATTATTAATACCTTCTGAATACCTTCTACCTGTAAGCTCTGGCTGGCGCAGAGAGTGAGAAAGAGGTGACAAAGAAGCGAGCGTGTCTTTAAACGTGAAGAAATCGATTAGGTCCTCATCGCTGTCCTCGAGGGTGGATGGGGAAATCGCGATGTTCACATGCATACACAGCGTGCAACGTCTGCAATCGCAGTCTCTGCAATGGACGTGATTCTTGCGATTTTTTGGTGTCTAGTCTTGAACCAGAAACTCTTTCGTAAAATCGTCGGTGCACAAGAGATATGATACATATTGGTCACCTTCCCACGAAGGGAAAAATGTTTTTCGAAATTAGTTTTTTTCTATTAAAAATTTCATATAGATAGTTTACAAAACGCCGTTCGTTCAGAACAATCAAAACAAATGTTAAAAATGGCTTGTAAGTATACTTATTCAAAATTTGTTTGTTTACATGATTTTTCTGATAGGAAGATGGTATTACGAAAAATATTGAACAACACTCGGCCGGTAATCCAAATAACAGACTCTGTTGGTGATAAATCTCGACTGTCGACTATTCACGCACATCACTTATTTGCTGTTTATACTAATGATAAACTGACGTAATGACTTGAATATCTTAAACGAGAAATACCAGAGACTTGAGATATCTGATCTTTACTGCCGCCTTGCGTGTTCATCACAACGGCATTTCCCTTTATGACAATCTCCATCAGTAATGTTATTACGATAAGTCTGAACAAATCGTAAACACTGCAGCTATCATCATGACCACCTCTTCAGTTCTCATTAACTGTTAATGCTCAGGAACCCCTATCAGATTCTGCTTCCAAAAATCCACCGGATTTAGATGACTTTGCTATCACAGTCCTCGTTAAGTATTTCTATTGACAAGAACCCCAACATCTGACGACAGACTATCATTTCCATCACCTGACCAGCAGAACTCGACAACTTTCCAAAATTCCGAGTGCTACAACTAACGGTGTAAACATTGCATTTAATTACATGATAATAAAATCTTTAACTTGTATTTTTTTATTTTTGAATGAATTGAAGAAATACGTTTAGAACATAGTCGACTTTTACAAGTAAAAATGCCAGTAAGAGTTCCCAACACATCCGGTATAGAAAGTAATAGCGCATATCCAAGACTGCAAACGGTGTTGTAGATTTGGGTGATCAATAGCAACATTTGTGAACAGCGAGTGCATTGCAACTGTGATGGCTGACTGACAGGCCTTACACCGGCCTCGATCGCAAAGCCGCACACCGTATGGGGTGGTAACTTGCACAAAATTTCGTGCATTCGCAGATGTGTTTTTCTTCGTATTCAAAGAAGTAGAATTTTTCTAGAACTATCCTCATAGCTTCGATTCACTCTAAGCCCAACATTTTGGACATGACAGAATAACATAAATCGTCGTGAAACCGCTAAGCAGAAACGAAGACTCTTAGCAAAACGTCATTAGAAATATTTGTTCATCTAATCGATAAAATCGATAAAAATCGATAAATCGATAAAACTTGAAATAGGTCATACAGTATACTACAGATCGGTACACAGGATAGTCTCCCGTTCTGTTCCAAACGCTCTTGCCTCGTGCTAGGAATAACCTAGAGTCCCTATATACAGCGAGTAGCGCATTCCATGGTTCCACAAATCCCGACATTTAATATCCAGATGACAGGAGAATTAGAACTGTGTGGTATTCTGTTTGTTGAGAACCATGAATTTATCCCAAACCGACATTAATATTGATGAAACTCTCCTTAATGCCCCCAAATGTTACAATTTACCTTCAGCTCCTGAATACTGCCTGGCGGACCTACCCGGTGAGAGGATATTAAATGGCGTCGGTTGCGCTACTCTCTGTACCTAGGGACTCTAGAATAACCTGGAGGGGAACGCTCGCCGGTGAGGTACGGTGGTGGCCAGGCTCTGCGGTCGGAGGAAGCGACCGCTCGACTGACGCAACCACCCCTGGAATTTCACCCCCCAAGAGGAGCGGCCACCCCACAGCCGGGAAGCGAGAAGATTCCAGCTTTCTAAAAGCACTCCGTCTCCTCGAGTTGGAATGTCGGATTGGGAAAGCTTCTCGTATACCTTTTGTTCTCATCGCAATTCGAAAGGAAACATTAAAATGAAGAAATGTTATTGTTTCTTGTTTTTTATATTTCGATTCTTTCCCTTCCGTTTCTCGGCTTGTTTTGCTATAAATTAATCGCAATTCTGAACATACAGAACAAGTGGATAGATGAACTACATTACCACACACACACCGGCACATCTGTCGGGAACGTAACAGCTTGTCCCGGCCTAGGCTAGCCGGTGGAGATATCTATTTGTAGAAAACCACGCTATCCGATTGGTAGATCGGCGCCGGATCTCGCCCTTCAGCGGGCGAATATCACTGCTACTGCGTACGATTTAAAAAGCATGCACTACACTTACGGGACTCCAGTGCTTAGCCGTTTTAGCGCCCGGAATCACTAATTATATAAATGTTTTCGCTGAATATATGAATACTATATAAGATCATTTTCGTTAAAAACTCTAATTTTTGAAAAAATGTAAAATTTCAATTTGTTTTGGCGTCTTTCTACAACTATAATTATTAAGATAGAGCGTTTACCCTTAATGAAATGTGTTCCGTAAAGATACATTTTGAAATAAGGTCGTGTCCAATTTTTTCCGAGACTTTGAGTACTCTTCGCGAAATTTTACGCGAGGAAGTACGTGTTGTTGAAGCTCCACCAGTTTTGTTGGCGTCCCTAGTCAGCGAGCGCGCTCGCGCATTACGTCGCCTCCGCCGCCTTCGCCGCCGCCTCTGCCGCCTCCACCTCCGCCCCGCGTGCCGACCACAAGAAGAAGGTCGCGCGTGGAGGGCGGGCGGGCAACGCCGGCGCCACAAGGTGCCCTCTGCGCCCGACCGCCCGCTCGGCCTGCCTGCCTGTCGGACCGGCCCGACCGGCGCACTCGCGGCTCCGCGATCCTCTCTGGCGCTCGCGCAGATCCACGCCCGCCCGCGCGCTCCTCCACTCGACTCGCCGACAGCGATGGCTCTGTGGCAGCATTTGCAGCCGGGAGGGCCTAAGGGGTTCGAGCCCCGACGGCGGAGGAGTTTAGAGCCTCGCTAGACAGCTACGTAGGTCGAATTCAGCCGCTGTCTGGAGGAGAATTCTAGCGGCCGGCTGTTCTGATCATTCGGCCGGCTGTTACGTGGTTTTTCCGGTCAACATCAGGCGAATGCCGGAGCAGTACCCTAACAAACAGGCCGCGGACCGCGCGCGGTCTTTCCTTCCTTTTCCTTTTCATATTCTCTTCATGCATTACATAAACAAGCAAGCATAAGCTTGACCTAGCTGGAGTGTGCTCTCTCTGGGGGAGGGGAAAACCCGTAAGTGTAGGTTGATACTGGATCTCACAGTTATGACGGAGTCAGTGCCCGGTCGTCTCCTATCGGAGTATAACATGCACTACACTCACGAGACTAATGACTATAATCACGGGTGACACTGCGATTGGGATAGTATCCTCCCACTCCCAATGTTTATTCTAATTTCATTAGCATTTTTTGTTTTTTTTATTTTATTTTTTTTTAATTGTGTTATTATCCTCGTTCGACAAAATTCATGCCTGTCAAGGTATTTAAGGTGATATAGTATACATAGTATAGGTTATATAGTATACATAAAAGTTTTTCAACTAAATTTCATCGTACATGAACACTGTTTGATAGCAATAATATTATAAACTAATTACTAAGGATACTCAGGAAGATACCTCAGAAAAATACATAAAATTATTTGAGTACAAAATACATTTCGGATTTAGGAATATCTTAACCTGTTTTATAGCTTTAGCATTTATGTAGTATTGCGATAAAGGAGAGGTGGGGACAGAGATTTAATATTTCACGATGAAGTATACGTAAGTAAAATGAGTCATTGTATGCAGGGTTCTTATATTCATTTGTCTAAAATAATATTTTAATGGAAGTGTTTTCACAAAGCTTACATCATAATGAATATGCCTTAATCCGCTGACAATTATTGATGTTTGGTAATACCAATCATTCACGATAAAACAAGATTCCTCACGTACGATAATACAAGAATGATTTCCATACCAATCATTCACGCAATTATTCTTGTATTATCGTACTGAGGAACATTAGTCACTAGATCATTATAGCTTTCACGACTCATTTGAAATTATTATTTAGCGGCGTTCCTCTGATCTCATTACGAGTGTCATCAAATAATTAGTAACTGATTGCTTTCAGTTATTCTCCGTCTCATTTTTTTGTTCTTAGAGTTTGCCAATAGTTCGGATTGTCTGAAGCTTGTCAAATTACTATTTAAACCATCTCATTAGGCATCTCTGACAGGTGCTTTTGGGGATGCTTTAAGCAGTTTAAAAGTATTTTAATATTTATTTATTTATTTACTTGATAATTTTAATTAGATTAGAAGGATACGAAACAAATTGACTAGTACTTTAAGCGTACGAAACCAACAGATTGAGATACGACGAATGACATCTCGCTTGCCCCAACGGTGAGACGGGAAGTATCTAACCGTGGGTGACGAAAGGACGGGCACACGCAGGTTACCCGACAGGTTAACCGATTACCATTACTTAGGATTATGTCGCTGTATACACATCTACTGTTGAGAGATAAAATCTTAATATTACACTGTTTTTTGCAGCAGAAGTCAGTAGCGGCGTCGCTACCGCAATAAATGTCATTACATGCACAAGGCAGTGAAGTTGCTATGCGTTACATGCTCAAGTTAGACACGTGCCAACCTAGAACGCAATGTCATTGATGGTCAGGTTACAAACATCTCAGGGTCATGTATCTCTCCACGTGTAGCATCTCGACAAAGGGACAGTAACTTATTAAACATGTAGGCTTCCGGACAGGGTGAGGCGGGGAGGGGGAGGGTAGGTAAACACGCGGAGACTAAAAAGTTTGAAAGGGGCCCCGCAACCTTACGTATTTTATTTCAGTAAATATGTTAAATTCACGAGAAAAAAATCTTTTAGAATCTATAGATAAGTGTACATTTAAAATTTTACAGTAATTATGACAAACGGATGGACACGTTGGCGTACCCCTAAAATATTCCAGCCTTTAGATGTTTGAGTATTATTGCCTAATTGTCTAGAGTTATAAAATATAAACAATTTTGGAATTTGTCGGAATAAACTCGTTGAATTTATTTTTCAATAACTAAATTTAACTTTTATATTCATGACGCGTTTAGTTTTTTAAATTCATGAAATCACATTACGTTTATTCATGAACATCTTGAAAATAAATAGGTAAAAAATTCTTGAGGTTTCTAAAAACTTTGAAAAAATTCGAAATTGCACAATGTTTCGTGAAATATACGGGTTCGGGGCAAAAGCATGAAGAAATTTTTGAATCTACTCCTAAAGGTGACCAACTGAGACTCGATAACTATTTATAAATACCTAAAACTGCGTCCCAAAATGCAAATTCGCTCGGAAACAGCTAAAAATGTCGAAAATGTACGAAACTACCCCCTAAAAATTTGGAGTGGTGGGAATTGATCTCTCCTACAACCGTCCAAAAGTACATTTAAAAAATATGCTGAAAATGAGTAAAAGAAAATGCGTAAATAAAACAGTTTAACGAATAAGCTGGCCCAGAAATGTAGTTGAACCCTCCTCTTGTTTTAGGCTGTGCACGACTATGGCATAATTTAATGGAAATGTGCATTGTATTTATTGGAGCTCTTAACGACCCAAGATTCTTATGAACCTTTCTGATACCGGATCTTGAATTTCGCACAGAAGGTAGTCATTCTGACAGAAAACCTTCACATTTTTGAGAAATGTTTGATGGGAATATGAAATAATTCGACCTCATTCCGTTAATCTTTATTGAGAAATACTTACGCCCTCATAGAACATGAAGTTTGTATTAAATCTTACCTTAATTATTGTACTATCTTACTATATTGTTCAAGAATATGAAACTAAAGTCTTAAATGTAAATGTTTTTTATTACCTCTATCGGCTGGTTCCAATTTAACTTTCCCTTTAGGTTTCTAAAAATATTCTCCAATTTTTTAATTTATTAATATTAGAGCCCTATACGTTATTTTAGTAAAATAATGCATTCTCAACAGTCTGTAGTGCTCTTTTTCAAATATTTCCTTAGCAGCATTTTCTCTGGAAATTTTTTTCCTTCAAGGTGTTTTCGACATTAACATTTTTGTCTCACTGACGTCCACTTTCGCAGTCATGGGCGTGCTTATGAGTTAACATGGATAACGTAACACAGCATTCACATTGCAATTTTCCACCTCTCCTTGGAGACCGAATCCGTCTTACGCCACTCCGCTCCACGGCCAACCCCTGACCCGACCCCTGCCAGCTGATCCTCTCGCTTCCTGCGCCGAGACCGCTATCGCCTCGCGGCAGTCCGCCCCGGCTGCCGCCACCGGCCGGGTCGCGTCGTGTCAAAACGTCACGACCACCCTGATCCCCAACCACTCTCCCCTCATACGATTTGGCGACCGGCGCCATTGGCGCTCGCCGATTCAAATTGCGCCAGCTCTCTGCACTCTCCGACAGTCGCCGGCTCGACACACGCTCGCGAGGGAGGTGGAGGTCTTGTTCGCTGCTGGATGTTTGGTCCAGTGCCTGGTCGGTTTGAGCCGCACGCGCTCGTGACACGTTGCCTGCCGTGAAGGGTCGGAGAGCGAGAAAGAGAGAGAGAGAGAGGGGAAGATTGTTGTGTGATTTCGCTCGCGTTGTGAAAGGTCGCGTCCCAGGCTAATTCGGGCGAGGAAGTGTCGCGTCCAAACGTGAGAGTTGCATGATGAAGCGAAGCAGTTCGTGTAGCACCTGCGGAGGCTGCGCGAAGCAAGACGGAGCCAGACGTAGTACTCGGCGGCCCATGGGTAAGATTTGACAACGCTTCCTTTTAACCCGCTTCTTTTTGTGGATTACTTACTCAATAGGTTTGATGGTTTGTTGGTTGAGTGGTAAGTGGGACGCGAATGGTTAGCATTTATTTTTTCAAACACGTCCGGAGAGAGCGAGAAGAATATCGGAGCCAAAGTATTCGGCGACCTATATGTAGCCAACGGTTTCTTTGACGATGTCTACTTCTTTTTGTAAATTACTTAGTCAATAGGTTTGATGGTTTATTGGTTGAGTGGTAAGTGGGGCGGGAACGGTCAGCATTTCTTGTAACACCTGTGAAGAGAGACTGAAAGTACGGAGTCAGTCGCGATATATTCAGCGAGACATGTTAAACTTTGCAAATACTTTCTTTGAATATATTCACTAGCTGTTTTGGTTTTGGTTGTTAGTTTGTTTTGTATCAAAGGTAACTGGTAAGTGAATTCAGAATGGCTTCTTGGCATGTTGATTAATAAGTAGATTAGATAATGGTTGGATGAAAAAATAATTGAGAATTATTTATGTGGAATGATTAGTTGGTTTGGGGGTTAGTTGACTGGATTGGTGGATAAGATATTCCAATTAATTTGGCGAGCTGATTGGTTCATTCATCAGGTGGTAATTTATTAATTACTGTGATTTTATGTTATAGATAGAGTACTTGTCCGTTTTTTCATTTGTTGTTTCATTAATTAATGTATGGTAGAACGAATTCAATCATTCAATATTTTATTTCGTAATTTCTTCATTCACTCTCCGTTTGGTAACGATGTTCGTCCTTTGATTAATTCATTCAATCGTCCAGTAATGCATGCAATTGTTTTAAAGGATTTTACTTCTCTATCTACTAACTTTCTATATTCTTAACTATGTTATCTAATTTTTATCAATCGTATTCTGGTTTTAGATATCGTTTGTCATTAAGAGTGAACATACTTTAATTTACCATCATGAGTATTAAGAAGGTAATAAGTGCACATTAATCTGTGGATACAGATCACGCAATAGTTTTAAATGTTATTAAATTGGTATAGTTTTACATTTCCGCAAATGTATACATAACTTTTTGGAATGCAATGAATATCTCTTACAATTATGTACGAATATAAATCGATTGTGTTAGTTGCAACATATTTCAACATCTATATAAAGATTGTAGGCACAAAGATTGCAGTAGCTGTAAAATATTTCTACATCTAGTATTTCAGTATTAGAAACGGAAAGTATTTACATTTGAACACAGCAGCTCTAGAGTATGTATAGCTACTAAAAACGAAAGGAAAAGTTCGTTGAGTTATTAATCAGATTGAATTTGTCTTTTGCAAAGTTTTAATACCACATCTCAATAATTGTTAAGCGTCCATTCTTTAATGTGCACATTATCCACTGATAATTACAATGAGAAAACTTCATCCATTTGCAATGCAACCTCATCTGAAAGGCTATCAGCACACTTTGAAAAACTACAAATAGTTCACTTCCTATGAAACAAAATAGCTCGAGGACACAAGTAGACTAAAAAAGGAATGTCGAAGCATTATCTATCATGTTGTTTCTTAATACAGTTCGTCACTTCATGAGGCACTAATTGCATGAGACTAATTCAATTTATTTCAGAAAACGAACATTACGCAACGAACCTAATTATCGAAAAGGTCAGCGCCCTTGTATGACTTGCAATATAATCTGATAGCTCGGAATGTAATTCATGTGTTGCCGTGTGTGGTGTCTGTAGTAAATGTACGAATATAACGAACATAATTCGTTCATTAAGATGAATTCGTTAGTATATGTTCGCTATACTGATATTATCTGTTAACAGGTTTTTTTATCGATTCATTGTAGATTTTTTAAAGTAAATCGACTAACTCCCTCTGCGCTCAACTTATAAAAAAATTAATTTCATACTACATTTAAATATTCGCATTTATTTAATTTTTATAAATCGTACAAAATCGTTATACGTTCTGAGTGAATTACATTAACAAATTCTGTCGTAGCCTGTTCAGTGATTTGAATTCTGACCAAAAATATCTTGCACGAAGTGTACGTTGTCCGATTACTTCGCATTCCAACAGTTTGTTCTTAGATCTTACGCCGAACTCACGCTCGAGTCTCGATATCTGCACTTGGCTTCACGCATCGGCGAACCACAGCGTAAGATAAGGAGGTTCACACAGCTGTCTCGTGGCATTACGGCGTGGGCGTCACTATATCGACGTAACTCTTTTTCCACTCATTCATGAGCGAACCACATGACGTTAGCTCATACGTGGACATGCTTTGGATTCTCAAATCACGGTTGGGATTTGAAACAATTCCGCATTCTGTGGCTTTCACTCTAAAGAACTTCAAATTTGAAATCGCTTGCTAAACTAAAGATTGCAAGACCGACAGCAGAAAATGTGCACATTTGCGAGTGTAGTATACGTGTTGGAATGGGTTGGATTCTTAACTTTACGGTATCGATTAAAAGAACTTTAAACTTCTCCAGAATGTCATCAGATTTTGTCATTTGGTCAAACCATTTTTAAATTAAATATTTCGTGTTGTTGGATAATATGTTATTATTTGTACGCAAAACATTTACATATTACATATTATGATATCATATTTTGATATCATTTTTTCAAATCATAGTTTGAGTATTGTTCAGCAAGACATATGAACCATACACTTTATTTTTTTCGTAGGAAGCCTCTGGTAGCTAAATAATTGTAAATAGCATTGTTCATTAAACGTAAGTGCTTCAGCCAAACGTTAACAGACTGCACTTCAACACTTCCGTCGTTATTTATGTATACTGCAAGCAATAAATAGATAACATATCTGTTAACATTCCACAATTTCATAAATGAAAAGAATATGATGAATAATCGTACCAATGACATTCAAAAGGTCTAAATCACGCTTTTGTGGTATAGTTAAACCTCATTATATTTAAGTTGTGTGTCATCAAATTAATACTATTTCAATGATGTGGTCTGATGCTATTAGGACGTACCTTTCGTTACTATCATTACGACTATAATATATTAACACACCATACATTTAATATTCATAATAAAACGTGATTTAATAGAGATTCGCACCTCACAAGACTAGACGAATTGGAGAAAAACAAGAAGGTTGTAACATAAAAAACGGATTAAGTTTGGTTGTGAATTCTAGAAAATCACGTCAAAAGAAGCATATTCAATTTTTGACTCGTACGCGCATTTTTATAATAATTAATTAAAAGTAAATTAGCCATTTTCCAAAAAAACGTATTGTTGTTTTTAACTCCGAGTAAAATGTGGAGATATATGCTCCTTGGAGGAAGGTTAATACCAAAGGAATTTGAAATCCCGTCGTGTATCTAGTATTACTAAATTACAATTATACAATTCTGGAGGAATGTATCCGCTTGTCGTAAAAGTGATGCAATACGAAACGAAGCGTTACACGCGAAGCAGAAGCCAATTGTGCACCGCGAGCACTGACGTCGATCGTCCCCCCAGTGGCTCCTCCGCCAATCGCAGTTGACCTCGCCGGTCCTCGACCCGCCGACCCACCGGGAGCAAAGTCCGATTCTGTTTTGGTCGACATTGGCGCTGCCAGGGGAGAAGGCATCATCCTCTCTCCTCTCGGAGCCCCGCACAATTTGGCCCAGGTCAGGATCTCCCCCAAATCGGCTCAGCGGGCGTACTTTGGACTTCGACCGGCTCGCGAGAATTCAACGTGACTGGGGTGGCGTTACGTGCCGTGTTCCTATGGCTCTTGCAGCCCGATTCGAGACTTCGTCTGACATCATCCTCCTCCAAAAATATTAGTAATAATAATAGTAATAACAGTAATAATAGTAATAATAGTAATAATAGTAATAATAGTAATAATAGTAATAATAGTAATAATAGTAATAATAGTAATAATAGTAATAATAGTAATAATAGTAATAATAGTAATAATAGTAATTATAGTAATAATAGTAATTATAGTAATAATCGTAAGAATCGTAAGAATCGTAATAATAGTAATAATAATATGATGATGAACATGATGATCATGATGATTGCTAATGGAAGTTGGAACTCTCCGGGATTCGTATTTGTTGATCCTGTACAAGCATGTGTGTCAAGTACATAGATCATTAGTTCCGTTAAGTATAGTGCATGTTCTATCCTGTGAAGTGACAATATTCCTCAGGTGCAACATTGTGATGTCCGGTGCCGACCCACACGTCGGTTTGCGAGAGTTTTTTCCCTCTCCCCAAGTATCTCCCTCGAAAATACAACCCCGCAGCCAAAACAGGCTCTAAGCTCTCGAATGGTCTTGAGACTGTGTGGTAGTGTAGTGCATTTGAGTGTAAGTGAGCACGTGAGGGGGAGTGAGCAGTAAGAAAGACGTTAGTTTTCAAAAGTCTTAAAAGCCTCTGGAAAGTGCCAAATGTTCTAGAAGCCCGTAAAATACTAAAGAATGTTCAACACGTTTCTGGAACATCGTGGAACTGTATTTTACAATGTTCAATTTGGAAACTTTTCATTAAATAATCTCGTGGGATATTGGAGCCTCTATTGGTAGGGGCCCCTGGAACTCAAAGTCCGTCCCTGCTAATTGAGACGGCTCTAAACGCAATCTGGTTCTCTTTTATGGGGCGTCATGATTGCAGTCACTGCATAGCGACGCAAACTGCTAGAGCAGAGAGACAGGCAGCGAGAAGTAAATTGGTAGAATTAACGAACGCAATTTTATTGACCTACCGCTGACGTTCAGAGTTTCTGTGAAGTTACAAGAACGGTGGTCTGGTCACGGAAACTTTTCTTGGAAAATTCATCGACATTAACGGGAGTGGTGGTAAATCTCATAAATCAATGTTACACATTGTGATATTTGCTCGAGGTAGGTAGGCGTATCAACTCGCACTGGTGTGAACTACAGTACCGGCAGCGTATAAGCGACTGCCAACACTTCACGATAGGCATAACACGTCTTGATATATGTTCATAACCTTCGCGACAGTCAAACCTATCGCCTCCGCGACTTCATGCAAGTTAGATGAGCGGCAACGCTGAACCCTGGCTGTGAGAAAGTACACAAATTCTCGCAAGCTGATTGCTTCAGAGCAGGTCACATGACGTACCACAGCGCGTGGCGAGAGAACTGTCAGAGTCGCTTACACGCTGCCGCTACTGTAGGTGCACGAAATCTCCACGTCTCTCCAATCTCTACTCTCTTGGCTACGTAAGAACAAGAACCTGGCAATCACGACTGCGTGATGAGTTGCCTGAACAACCAGGGGCAAATGCCGCATCTCGTTTTACGAGATTTCCCAACACATGCTCATTGGCAAAAAGTGATGATCTTCGATGCTCTTACTTGCCCTAGAGAGCCTGAAATGTCTCAGGGCATGCAATCGTTGCCTCTGCCTTTCTCACTGGAATGTTCTAGAGTTCGAATCCCGTCCGTAACGGAATTTCGACGCCATTTAGATAGCTAGTTTTAATTCTGTCGCTAGCTGGAGGAGAATTCTAGCGGCCGGCTTCTCCTGTCGGTAGTTTTCCGTGTCTTTTTCGATCAATGCCAGGTGAATGCCGACAGTACGGAATACTACCTTTAGTAACGAGCCATAGAACGCGCATGGCCTTTCCTCTCATACTCGTTTCCTCCTCTTCCCTCACACACAAACACACTTCCGTATACTACACTTCGGCACATATCAGGAGATCAGTTAGGGAACTTAGAGCTTGATCTGGTTGGGGCGCCGCTGGGGGAAGATACCTAGATGGGGACAACCCCGGGAGAAGCCGCAGTTGTCGTCCCTCTTCTTTCCTTATAAGCTTGTGACATTCATTGTAAGACACTGTCTAGAGTGAATAATGTACATTGGTTGTAGGCGTTCGGTTTGATGAGGCTAAGTCTTGGACTACCTACATGCCTTAGAAGTTATTGACATTTATTCTAAAAAGCCCTACATAGAGAAAATGACATCCGTTTGAATTCATGAGGCTGGTGGTGTGTTTTGGATCCCTGCTACGAACTTTAGAAGTTTGTGACATTTATTCTGAAATATCTGTACAGAGGTGATAAGGTGTTTTGGTTGTGGCCTTTTGGTTTCGTGTAGGTGTTCAGAGACTGATCCAGAAGGTAGGGGGCAGCAATGGTTATTAGGACCCCCATAAATATTTGGAATTTTTTTGGTTAACTTGAAAATAATGTACTAATTTTAATAACAGGAATACTGGTTCGGAAATAGCGAGAACTATACTTAGTAATTATTTTGAATAATTATTTGGGAAAAAGAGGAAGCAATGGTCCTCGTGCGCTAGAAGTTAATGACATTTAGGTTTAGAGTTGATGGTATGCGTTGTTTGTGGCCGTTTGTCTTATGAGACTCCTTGTCCGTGTGCGCAGGCGTGAACAGCGAGCAGCAGCGCGGCATGGCGGCGGGCAGAGGCGGCGCGCTGGCGGCGACAGCGCCGCTCCTGGTGGCCACCGTGGGGCTGCCGGCGCGCTCCAAGACGACGCTGGCGCACCGCCTGGCGCGCTTCCTGGCGTGGAACGGCGAGCTGGCCGAGGCCTTCACCGTCAGCGACTACCGGCGCAAGCTCATGGAGCGCTACGACAACCACAACCTCTTCCGCGCCGACAACAGCGCCGCGCTCGAGATCCGCAACAGGAGCGCGGCGCTGGCCCTGGCCGACGCCGTCGAGTGGTTGCGCTCCTCCGGCACCGTCGCGGTGAGTGCGCTGCCTTCGCGGGTGGGTCCACCTGTACACTTCCAAGAGCAAAGTTTTTCTTTTGTCTTATAAAAAAATGGTACTATATATTCCGAACATTATTGAACGTAACATCGCCGATAACGCCTATAACGCTCGTTTCTGGCCATTTATCGGTCTAGTGACATTAATAAATGAGGTCTTGCAAAGCTAAAGGAGTTAAGTACAAAAAATTTCGAAATGAAAGTTTTGACACATAAATCTGTGCTAATTCATTGATAAAAGTGATGTTCCAAACACCTTCTAAGCCCAGTGTGGAACCTTCCGAGCTCTTCTTGTATGGCAAGAATACGAATTCATAGTTTTCATTGATTTCCCGATTTGGGGAGGGGGGCACTTAAATCCTTTGGCTTTGCAAGGCATCATTTATTAATGTCCCTAGACCGATAAATGGCCAGAAACGAGTGTTATTGCTGTTATCGGCGATGTTACGTTCAATAATGTTGGTAATATATAGTACCATCTTCTTATAAGACAAAATAATAACTTTTTTGGGAAATGTACAGATTGACTTTCAACAAATGACACAAACTTCTTGGGTACTGGAGGGGTAGAAAATGATCACTTTTTGCCAATGAATAATTAGTGGGAAATGTTTTATAATGGGGTCAATTATGTGACATTGCCTCCCTGAAGTTTTTCGAAAGGTCCTGACGCACATATGTTTCGCAGGCCACGATCTGACTTCGACAACGAAATCTCATGTTCCTGGACTATCTGTACATACGAAGTTGCATAACAACCAGGGACAAATGTCAACTTCGTTATATGCAGGCGCGGATCCACAGGGAGGGAAATCCCCCCCCCCTTCTCCTATTTTTTTATAACTATTAATATTAACTTGTCACGAAACTCTCAAGCAAAAATATTTTCAAATAATCATTAAAACGAATAAAATCTACACGCAACATGAGCTGAGTGTAGCCTGAGACACTTAACAGTCTGTAATTGCACATTCTAACAAAACAGTTTTAATCGCCCCTCCCATAATTTGTCTCTGTATCATCCCCTGTTACGTGCAATTTCTCACTACAGCAAAAAGTTATCATTTTCGACTCCCCCACATGCTCTAGAAGCTAATGACATTTTTTCTAAGACAGGTCTTTATTTTATAATAACATGTACGGTTATTTTGAATCCGTGTCTTTGAATTAGTTTTTCGATGAACTCAATCTAACAACGATTCGTTAGGTGTTCGTTCGTTAGCGTCATTACGTTTCGTTCGCAAGTTTAGTGGTGTTAAGTTGTTCGTATTCGAAACAATAGCATGCAGTTTAATGTTCAAACTAATACTGAAGTTAAATAAAAACAACCCACAAAATGTCCAAGAGAAATTGTTTTCAGTGAAAATTTAAAGGTGCCTTTTCCATTTGCAGTTTTTAATTTATTTAATAGACTGTTTCAAAATTGTCAGTTCATTGTTATCATAATGCAATGATTTTGGATGCACCGAAAGGAGTAAATTATTTCTGTCAGACCCTCCTCAATAACAATTGCGTGCTGGGACCGCCCTGCGCGGGACGAGCATTTCGCCAGCGGAAGTGACGGGGCGGGTTGTTGTGTGCGCGCAGGTGCTGGACGGGACGCACGCCACCCGCGCGGCGCGCCGCCAGCTCCAGGAGCGCGTGGTGGACCGCCTGGGCTGGCGCCTGCTCTTCGTGGAGTGCGTGGTCGACGACGACGCCATCCTCGAGCGCAACATCCAGGTGAGCCGCCCGCTCCCCGCTCTCTCACTCTCTCTCTCTTGCTCGTCCCTTCCCGTACTCTTTTTTACTTTATTTTCTCCTTCCGTTTCTCTAGTTTTTATTTTTTCCTTCTGTTTCTCTCTTTTGTTTCCCCTTCTGTTACTCTCTTTTTTGTTTTCTCTCATTATTTTTTGGCCCTCTTCCTTCTTTTTGTTTCCTCCCTTCCTTGCTCTCTTTTTTGTTCCTCTCTTCGTCCTTTGCTCTTTTTCTTCTCTCCTATCTCCAATGTTCTTCCTCTCTCCTTAATTGGTTTTGCACTGTTTTTCTTTCTCCTCTGTTCTTTTCCACTTCCTGCAATATTTCTTGTTGGTTCTTCTTCATCCTCCACCTCTGCTCTATCTCACCATCTCTTGCTCTCCGTTTTTCCATTCCTTCTTTTCTCTCCTCACCATTTTAGCCCAAGGCCCAAGGACTATTTCTCTTTTTTAATCTGAGTTAATGCCTCATATTATCTTTCATGTCTTAGTGTCAACATAATGAAAAATATATTTCTTCACTCAAAAGAAAAAACTGACTTTTGTTCTCATGACTTTAGGAAATCCTTCACAATAGCCCTGACTACCGTGATATGGGCCGGGAAAAGGCAGAAGATGACTTCCGCAAGAAGATAGCCCACTACTTGGAGCAATACGAGCCTGTGGCAGCCAAATCTGAAGGCATCAGTGTAGTGCGGTATTGTAATGATGGAGAAAGTGTGACATCTCACCGTCTCTCAGGTCATCTCGAAGCTCAAGTTCTGTCTTTCCTTGCAAGCTTTCGACCATGCCCCAAGACACTCTACTTTTCTAGGGTGAGTCAATATTTTTCTCTGTTCATGGATTTGGGAGATTAACTAACAGGAAATATTGGAATATCACAAGAAAAATTCAATTAATCTGTTTGTATAACCAGCGTAAAACAATATTAAATGTATTCATGAAGTAAAATTAAAATACTTGTATCCCTTTTTTCAAAATATTAATGTCTTCAGACTCTATTGAAAATAACTATTTAAATGCTACAAAGTTTTCTCAATGCACTGAAATCGATAAATTCCTGTTTCAGCATGGAGAGAGTGAATATAATGTCCTTGGGCGAATTGGTGGTGATGCTAACTTGTCACCACGTGGTCAAGCATATGCTCGTGCTTTGGCACAACGTGTCACAGAAATGCATTTACCATCATTGCATGTCTGGACCAGTCAGCTGTGTCGAACAAAGCAAACAGCTCAAGGCATCAAAGTACCTGTAGAACATCTGGCCGCACTCAATGAACTCGATGCTGTAAGTGGGTTCAATATTTTTTTTTGAAATTTTATCTATGTTTGTGTTGAAGAGAAGTAGGTATGTTCATCTCTGACAGCAAATAACTGATATTAGAGATTTGCAATGAGACACTTAAGAAATTTTTTTATCCATTAAATTGATTTTCATTTCTAATATCCATTTAACTTGCAAATAAAAATTGTCTTAACACATTGGCTGCCATGAGAAGCATAACGTGATACTCACTGAATTGATCAGAATGGCAGGAAAATATAGAGGAATACTGTCTTAACAAGTTTATGCCTTACCTTCATGTAATTTTGTATCAATCATGCCTTACAATCATGTACCAATTTGTAAACTAATATTTGGACAGTGGTATGCATCAGATGACCCAATGACAGTCTCTACACTCTTATGCATTATTAATTTGTTTTTCTTCAAATTATGTTTTTGAATAATAATCATTAACACAATGTGTATGCTCAAAATCAGTTGAAATGGTACTACATGCTTCTGCCAGAATTATACATTATCCTGTTATAATTCTATACCTCATAGGTCAATCATCATAAACAACATATTATTTACTTTTCGGGAGACCAAAAAGAAGCTTCTGAAGTCTCAAATTCTACCTTTTCATTATGATTGTTTCGCACACAATAAATAGTTTCAAGAATCAAATGCTCTACACCTTTGGAAAATATAGCTTGTCATGTGAATTGAGATAAAAACCTTAAAAGGCCCCAAAAACGTCACAACAAGAGACTTCTAAGGAATAGAATTATACAAAGTAGTGTCTGTGTAATGCAATCAAAGTTTTTATTTATTCAACTAATAATTGTTTTCACCACAGGGAGTTTGTGAAGGGCTCACTTATGAAGAGATCCAAGAGCGCTTTCCCCAAGAGTTTGCTTGGCGTGATCAAGACAAATTGCGCTACCGTTACCCATGGGGAGAGAGTTATATTGACATCATGGCTCGCATTCAATCTGTGCTTCTTGACCTGGAAGGTGCTGATGAGGAAGTGCTGGTGGTCAGTCATCAAGCAGTGCTTCGTTGTGTACTTGGTTACTTCTTACACAAGCTACCAGGTAATTGTTTCCTTCTAAACTGTGAGTTCAAAATATGAGAATGAATATGATTTGATACTGATAGACAACTTCACATAATTTTATTGCAGAGAATATAATGCTTTTGTAATGTCTTAGTCTTACAGTTTACATCATACTTCATCTTTTATGAGTTCACCAACAACAATAAATTAACATAGTTGATCTTCATTAATTTTTAAATATTACTTTCCTCAATGTATGCAATATTTAACAGCCTTTTTAGTAGCTTTTCACTCATGATTAGAGATTTGATAATATTAGTACCAAATGTTACAGTACAATATCATAGTATATAATTATTTAATTTCCTTCTTGTAATTATTTATTAAAATTTTGTAATCTTATTTTTTTTTTTTTTTTTTTTTTTTTTCAGAAGAGTTGCCATACCTTGACGTACCTCTTCATACTTTAATAAAGCTGACAAGTGATGGCTACAACTTCAACATTGAATTCATAAAGCTTCCTATAGAATGTGTTGATACATATCGCCGTCAGCCTTCGGTAAGATTCTCAGAGAATTCTGTTTTTCCAATTTATTATTTCCAACATTCCTAAATAAACCTGGTCCTTTATTGCTACACTCTAGTTGAGAAGATATTACTCAAATACTATTTTTGGCATTCTTATATACCTAATTCTTTAAAGTTAGGTAATGATGACTTTTCTGCTTGCACAAAAATCCCTGAAAATAATTAATGAAATCAATTTTCTCAATAATAAAAAACAGTACATTTGGTGCTTCATACCATTATGTTTCAGTCTTCATTATGTAAAAATACTGTTTTCACAACTATTATTAAGAGAACTTTCAACTACATGTAATTTGTACTGTAAAAACACTTTTACTACAGAACGACTACGATTTACATCTGCCTACACTTGATTTTAAATAAAGGATATAAACTAATATTTTTGTCATATATTTTCAGAATTGTGCAACAGATCGAACCACTCAAGACGCTCTGCTCACAGTCCCCTCTCATTTCGATTCTCTCAGTCTATGGGACAGCAAAGACATGCCCAAGAGTCTGCCAATTTACATTGAACAGCATTAAGAACACAAATCTTCCATTTGTCTGTGCGGTACTGAAGCAAGCTACGTAATGGTGAGACTGCTGAAAGTGTCAATTAATTTTGCCACAAAAAACATCCTTTAAGTCATGACCAGATGCAGGCATGTTATATTATGCCTGTTGTGAAAAGAAGTGCTCAGATATAATCGCAAGAAATGAAATGTGCAACACAAACTTCAGTTTAATAAACATGAAGAATAGCAGAAGGCAGATAACTCAAAGAAGAAAACAATATTTATACGTTTTCTTTCTAATTGCTTTGAGTTTTTGATTAGACGTTTTATTTAGTTAAAAATTATTAGTTCTAATTGTAATCTAAGTGATGTAAATGTTTACATTATATTCTACAATATGACAATGAGTACTTCAAATTTCATCACTTCACAACCTAAATCATGGTCAATTATGACTAGTTTACAAAAGTTAAATAATGTTTTGTTTTTTTAAATGCCAGAAGTGGCAGGAGAAAGATAATGGAAAACATTATAGCAGCAGTCTTAATTCATGATGTAACGAAATAGTTGTGTGTATTTCTTTTACATTAGCTATATTAGTTATATTGTTCAGTAACTGTGTGTTAAACTGGCAGAAAATCTCTCTAACAATTAGTCTTATCTGAACTTGTGTTCTCTCCAAAAGGGTTGTAATTTTATGTGAAATTCTTGGCTTTGAGAAATCCAACAGATCTGTGCAATTTAGTTATAATATTGTTTTGTAACACAAAATGTGTTTTTTTTGTACTTAAACGTTCAATTGTTTCAAACATAATTGAGTGGCGGTTAGCCTTTCCCATAGGGTAATGGAGGGTTCTGTTCCTGTTGAGAAATAATATGTAATTTTCATGGTTGTTGCTTTCAATACTGTGATTTTTTGACTTGCCAGAAGAGGAACAAAGTAACTTATGACAATTTTTTTGTGGTGTAGTATCATGTGGTTCATTGAATGATGAACATAATTAAATGTTCTTTTTCTGTATCATAAGTAATTAGACGAGGTGTTCTGAGAAATTCTCAGAAGGCAGAATTAAATTCAATCAAATGTATTATCAAACTGAGCTGTAGACTACTTGAAGTGAGAATGTTGTTCCGTTTGAGTGAGTCTGTTTACCTGACAACCAGGTTAAAGTCTGTAAAACAAAAAAATAATTATTTTTTATACTTTCGCTCTCATGATACTGAGAAAACATTAAATAGTATTGCACTTAACTTGTATAATTTTTATATTAGATTTTACGTATGTCCAGTACTGATATAATTTTTAATATTTTTTAATAAAATTTTCTTCAAAATATGATTTTGTAAGTTTTATTTCCTTGTTTATCATCTCAGAAGGCTTGTTTACACAATTTCATTGTATTTAACATACAAGATCACCATGTTTGAAGCATCAGCAAAGTTACAAGGCAACACCTGTGTTCAATCTGTCAATACCCTCTTCAAATCAAACCACAAGTTGAATTGTACTTTACTGAAGAAATCACTTCAAGAACTAGTGACTGCAAAAGATATTGACTATGCTATGAATAATATACTCCCTGTTCATTGTGACGAAAAACATTTAACAATTTTAAATTGCTCAGTTTATTATTGTAATGTCAAAAATAAAAAAAAAAATGAGTTTTCAACTTTACTAACAAACTCATTCAGTCTTCCTTTTGGACCTATTCCATATCTTTGCTTTCTGAACTGCGATTTAATAGACCTGAATTTTCTCTTTAGAAAATTGAAAGTCTTTCATAACCAAGTTCTTAATGTAGTGTTCAACAAACACCAGTCTAAAGCCAATAATCATAAATTAAAACATGCTAACAATAACATATGTAGGGCAGTTCAAGTAGAATCAAAGATTATATAAACATACTTGTATTACATTTTGAGCATTTACTTACATGAATTAGTACATATTTTTCTCACATCTCAGCTCTCTCAATTTTGATGCACTCAATTGAGAGTGGTGAACAATGGAAAAATATTTTGGTATTTATTTGGAATATTACACAAACCTAATTTTTATTTCCAACTGCGTCAGTTTTTCAGAACTTCTCATTCCTTCTATCTCAAAATATTTTATTCATTATTGTTGAGAACAACTTCATCTTGTTATTAGTTATTTGTTTCTAACTCATGGCAATATGTTCATTTTATATAAAACAATTTCATATAAAATAGGTCTCACATAAATCAAAAACATAAATTAACAAAAAAATTACAAATAAAGATATTATTCAAATTTCACAAAATACAAATTTACAAAATATAGACATTGATTTGAATATATCCAATATTCTCCTAGCATTGTTGTTGATAAAAACTACATCAGATTTCTCCATCAATTGAAATTCAATACCATTTGCAGTTGTACACATTTCTGTTAATTGCAGTTTTAGTTTGAAAATACATGTTTATAATGACAAAATGCAAATAATTCAATTGTTCTAACTAGAATAGTGGCAATTTTAATCCAACTGATTCAGCAAAAACAGGCAATCAATGCTACCATTAAGTACTTTTAGCAAAAAGACCAAATCTCCAACTTCCCTGCACATTTTCAGAGACGCAAAACTGAATACATACATCATTAACTATCAACAAAAACAACTGCGTTATCAGTATTGAAAGCCATAGATTCTGTGCCTGAATATAGAAGAAGATCCAGTGAGAATACAGAACATCTTTAGTGTTACACTAAAGACAATATATTTTGGTAGGTAAAATTCATTTTTGATATTTTTCCAGTATCATGCTCATAGTTACATCTTGCTTTATTGCACACTTGTAGCAATTGCCAAACTTTGACATGCCTAAATTAATTGTCTCTACTTCAACAATCTCCATTATTAACACAATACCACTCTAAATTTTGTACAACAAAACTTGATGAAGAAAATATTACTACAAAATCTTCAAGCCAAACATAACATCTAATTTTTTTCATGTGATGTTTAGCAAAGCAGTAAGATGTATTGAATCTGAATAAATGAGGAAAATGTAGCACTTACACATAACAAAATTCACCTAAAGTAACATCTGATGATAATTAAACGAGAGAGAAGAAAGAAAAAAAATGTTTAACGAAAATTGAGTAATAAGACAAGTATAACAACCACAGAACAATACAGGACCACTGACTTCAATGGAAAAATTAAATATTTATCTACCGAAAACATATTTCTGCAAAGTATCACATTCTATGGAGAGATTACTTTGAATGTTGGTAGTTGGTGGTTGGTTGTATTCAAAGTAATCTTGCCATAGAATGTGATTTGATTTGATTTATTTAGTAAAAAAAACATTTGAAACTGTATGTGATGTACGGGGAAGAAAATCAACTGCACACATTTTCTTGAGTTCCAGAAACCCTTCCCAACATTTGAACTGTAAGTAGTTGAAAGATGAATTACAGTTTAAATAATAATATTAATAAAATAAAATTGAAAAAAGCAGATTATCAACATTTATAAAAGGTAGACATTTTCGTTTCCAAGTCATAGAAAACATATTTTCATTGGCAAAGGAACTCCAGATTTGATTGCTCTATATTGGCAACAAAATAGCAATTCACCCCCAGCTCTACTCCTACCACTACCACCACTACAAGCAAAAGGAGATTTCAACAAAACATGTCATGCGGACTACATGAGCTGGACAAAAACCTGATCGAGATGGGGGATCACTGACAGAAGCTGAAGTACATTACTTGTTGCAGGAACATTAAGTCTTTTTTTACCTTAGACAATCCAAATTTAAATTAATGCATTAAATATTGTTTTGTTCCAATAAATATTATTTATCTTTTTGATGTTCAGCATAGACTCTAATTGTATGTTATACAGCATATGTAAAATTACAGGAAGTACATTTTTGACTTTGCAGAAAATAAATATACTATTCTCACTGATTTCTTCAGATACAATTGTTGATGTTTAAGAAAATGAGAAGTCTTTAAAAATGTGAATCATAGAGTTTATAAAATTGTTCCTGTAGCATGTATATTTCATCATGGTTATGATTTGGATTCTCAAAAATAAATGAAACTTTTTTGGGCATTCTCTTGCAAATATAATATTGCATGTGTCCTTAAAATTGTAATTTGTGAATAGTAATATTGTGTAACAAGATTTCCAGTTTAAAAAATTAAATATAGAATAGAATATGGCACAAGGGATGAGCATCAATTTTGATTGGCAGGTTGATGAGAGAGATTTATTTGATGACCATTAAAATTATTGCCGTAACAACTGAAGAAAAAAAATATACTACTTTATTTAATTTTTTACAGTCATAACCAAATGGAAATTAATCTTTCCCTTCTCCAAAAACCTAAATATTCAATATTTGTTCTTGTATTATTGCTAAAATTCACTGAGGCTTTCTTCAAATCATTATTCATCCAATTTTTAAATCCGAATAAATCAATGACACTAGTATCATTAATTGCAATGAACAAACTTTTCTTCTTCCTTTAAAAATATTTTTTTTTTCAGTGCTTGAAGCAATCAAGGATGTCACAAAAATGGTTTTTTAATGAAAAATGTTCCCCTTGATTCATTGAATTTGTGAAAATAATTTTTGTCTTATTTTGAGTTGCACTGACAATTAAGCTATTAGAAGATATTTGATTTTCAGACAAACGTGTTTTACACAATTGACATACGTAACTCAAAATTAATTTTTCAAACAGTAACTAGTAAAAGCAGTTCTATCAGGGCATGCACAGGATGCTAAAAGCTCAATTTTGAGCACTAGCTAAAACTCAGGTGATGCTCAAGCATTCAGATAAATCTGTGTATGCAATAGAGAAAATAAAATGCTTTCGTGTGACCGTATCAGATACTACTTACCTTAACGCATCATTAAGTGATTTGTGTACTTGAATTGAAATAAAACTAAAGTTAGAAACGCTCGTATGATTGCACCACTCGGTCTATCAGCATGAAGTCACCTTTCCCGCTCGCAAAATAAAACGTAACTTTTACCACTTCAATGATAAATAACCATTAAAGCACATTTCATGGCCTCATATCAAGCAACAACTTTCACTTTATTATCTAGAAATGTTGATTTCATCACTAAAAATGCTGTGAAGTGTAATTGAACCGCTATGTATTTCTCACAAAAAATCAAACCGAGGCTGAAAATTGTATTAAATAAAGATCCTCTACAACCCTAACTGCAATGATTATCAGAAGAGAATGAATACACTGTCTGTTTTTCTATTATTAACACACGCACCAGTGTTGATATAAAAATAATCACTTTCTGAATTTAAAAAAGATGAGTTAAAAATAGCAAATGTTATATAATTTACATTACAGTGTTCCTTTTACTAGTTGATGTACATATTCTTAATAGAACTATTTGAAGAAAAAAAAATTCAAATGAAAAGGTTATTTAAAGAGCGCTCAGCATCATCTGGATAAAAGACGTTCCCCAGCTCAAATCCCAGCGGGATGAAGTATTTACACTTCATAACAAGCCATGTTCAGTGTAATGATATGGTGCATTAGCATTGTTTCCGTCTGGGCAGCAAATGTTTTTGAAGACAAACCCCAGCCAGATGGAATCATTAGCTGTGAGAGTCATTACATTCTATCTTCACCCTTCATGACATTCTATATGCATAAAATTGGAGTGGGTCTGAGATTTCAAAATAAATGCTTTTTTATAACCTCATATAGTCATTTAGATGGTATAAAATCCAAATCAATTGTTTTTATGATTTTTGACAATCTGTCTAGGGTCTCCAGAATGGCTGAACTGATCTCTACATGGCTTTACTGAAATGTAGTGTGTTTTCTCGAACATAATTTACACCACTTTTTTTCAAATTGACATTTTCTTCGAGACGGAGAAAGAGGAGTGTGTTTTTTCATACAAATCTAGGGTTTCATTCGATTTTTAATGAAATTTTACACAAATGATCTTCAAAACAGGAGAAAAATTACTGCATTAAATTTCATATCTATCTGTCTCTGTCTCCTTTTCCTATCCTCTTAAAAGTAAATTTAAGATGCACTCTTTCAGTTTTACATTGCAATCATCTCAGAAACATTAGGAAATTCACCAAATCAAACTCAACATATTAATTTTACTACCAAATGCTTCGTTGTTCATTCAGATAGGGCAATTATGCTTTGAGTAATTGAATGTCAAAATTGTTACCAGAAGTTTGCAATAATGCATTTGTTTACAGCTGACCGTATCCATGATAATCACAGCAAACGTGGCAGGTAGGTGCAAGGGGGGCCAAATGACGCAAGTGAAATGGAGCCCAATGGGGCCAGGCAGGGTGAGGGGGAGAGGGTGGAGCAACTCAGGTGTGTTGAGGTGGGGTGAGGTATGGTGGGTTGCAGAGGGAATGGTACAGTACACACTGAGGGCAAAACAGGAAATGGTAGAGCAAGAGTACACCATACATAGAACTCATTACTTTTCCTTTATAGCATAGGAATGCAGTTGATAAATAACCAAGCAATGCAGGGTACTTCAGCCAATTGTACCATAAATAAGAGCAGACAGTTACAAGATATTTAATTTGTCACGAATGAAATGTTTGATACAATGGCTCAGCCCATTAAAACATCTGTCGGGACTTATATCCTGGAGGGGTCAAGTATTTGCACTTCCATACAATCTAATTTCATTGTCAATTACACTGGCTAAGACATTACACAGCCTGTTATGAAATTTTTTGAAGAGCCTTATTTTCGGCACTTACAAATTTGATTACTACTTCAGTGACTCTTCAGTAGCTTTACAATCCAAAATCTTATTTACAATCTTACTAAAAATTTAACCAATGTTTCTTTCTAACCATTCTATACACCACAGAGGAAATTACACAAGATATTTTAACAAATAAGAGCCATAACACTTGTAAAAATATTTCAACACAATTGTTTTATTTCCATAATGAATTTACACAACAGCTTTGATAAGAATGCAAACCTGTTTTTTGATTTTTTTACAATTACACATGATTAGGCTACATGCTCCAAAATCTTCAGAACAATGAAGTCATAAATTATAACGAAAACAATAACACAGCCAGGTGGTAAAAAATCTAGCACTAATTACAATATCAAAACACAATGAACCCTAACATAATATCATAAACAGACATTACTCATTTTCAACTGCAATCTTAATAATACAATATCACAATCCAAAATTTTAAAGCTTTATAGTTGGATGCACCTTTACCCAGCATAAACAACTCTTATTATATATTAGAATAAGGAAGTATTGTTTCATAGTTTTTAGTTCCTTTTGCACGAGAAATCCACTTTTCTCTTCTTAACATGACACATTCGTGAAGCAAACATTCAACAATTCAATCCATTACTCATCGTGCAAGTATTGAGCAGACAGAACACCATACTTTGTATCCTACACATGGCAGATCTAAAATGGAATTTTAAGTTCTATTAATAACATACTATTTTTTGAAGCATTAAAATTCAGAATAGTATTCTGAGAATAAAATTGCTTCAAATACATTGCTCACTTCATTTCAGTTTTAATTTTTATTTTAAATTAATATTGAAAATAATGATTTCAGTGAACAACATTTTGCTTGAAATTTTAAGGCCAATTTAAAATGCTGTACATAAGAATTTTCTGTTGAAAACCATGACCATTAAGAGAAATTCAGGAACTAAAATAATGGTCACTAAAAGATAAAAAATAACTTAATAAAAACCAATGACAAATTATGGCAATTTTCAATGTTTTTCTGAAAAACTGCTAATAATTCATTAATACCTACATTACATTTGCCAACTCAAGATAACTAAAAATGCATTTAATTAAGGCAGAATAAAAGTCGTGGGAAGAATTTACTTAAAATATATTTTCCCCAAAAAATTAGTACAAAATTATGGTACAAGTAAATTTAAATTGCTAACAAAATCCTTTAAATTATTGATGCAAAATTCAAAATTTAATTCTAATGCGGTACTTCTTGCGTATTAAGTAATCAGTTGTTGTGAAAATTCTCAAATTCAGATGTTCTTAAGATAAAAGAATGCCTAGAAATGTTTATTATTAGTATCCAATTGACATTGCACATATCATTTACTATAATGTTAATGCCCAACTTTTGAATGACTACATATCCCCAGATATTGAAAACAAATGTATTGCATACAATTCTCTCCTACGAAAATTAATAACAGACAAACAATAACAAGTCTTGATGGCTATTGACATTATTCAATATTAATTACCCACTTTTCATTGGAAAATAACATTCTCTTAAAAGACATGCTTTTTTTCCAAGAGATAATGAAAAATAAGATTTGCAGCACATGCACACCTCAGGAACTTGAGAGAATCAGTCAGTTTTAACACACCTAAGATCGATTGTCAAATATTACTAAGTTTCCAACAGGCAAATTGAATCAACTTGCATTTTACCAAAGTAGTTGTTCTTAATGCAATGAATTAATAGATCATTAAGTTTCACTATTTGGCAGTTATCTTCAGAGGTTTCAGTCACCACTTGAAAAACACAAAAACTTCTCTTAACGTACAATCTCATTTACATGTTAATGTACACCATGAAAAAGATCTTCCTCACAATCATTTAATATTTTCATTATATGAAAATATTATTATATGAAAGCTAAAAGTCCTACAATTGAAATAAATTATTTGTTTCCACCCTTGGTTTTTTGGCTTCTACATACTCAGAATCACTTGCATAACCCCTTCCCCAATCTGTAGCACTCTTTCTTCGTTTTCTCTTTCCTAATTTATCCTCCCCTAATATGTCTCTAATTTCTTCCCCCACTTTCAGCTGAATTCGCAACTCCTCTCTCTTCTGACTCGCACGTTTTCCATCAGGTCTTTTGTTTTCTTTTACAGCTCTTACAGTGAAGTCATTCGATTCATTCATTCTGATTCTTACTTCAGAATCATGCTCTTTGTCTTCAATTTCTTTACTGATAATTGTTTTTTGTTTTCTTATTGTTTTACCTTTCAAAACACCTACTGTCATAATCCTAGTTAATTTTTTCATAATATGCATAGTTTTCTCTAGGCTCTCTGCTTGGGGGCACTTTTCCTGCTTTTTTCCTTCTTCTTTTTCTTCTCCTTCTTCTTCACTATCAATTACTTGAACTTTTTTCTTTCTTCTCAAAAATGTAATTTCTTCTTTTGCTTCAGAATCAATAAACTGTTCTACTCCTTCTACACCATCTTTGCCATCACTATCATCATCTTCACTACTTGTCTCTTCCTCTTCATCTTCTATATCAGTCTCTTCCCCTTCCTCTGCTTCCATGTCAAAAAATTGCAATGCCATTCTCTTTTTTCTCTGTCTCGCTGTCAAACATTGCAGTTTTTCTTCTTCTTCCTCCTCCTCCTCTTCTTCTTCTTCAGTGCAGTCTTCATTATCATCACTACCACTGTCATCATCACTGCTACACTCGGTGTCTTCATACTCCTCATCACTTGTGGCATTTTCATCATAACTAACATAATTATCATCAACAATAAAATTTTTATCTTCTTCATCTTCTTCTTCAGAATCATCTTCAATACACCAATTCAATTTATTCATATCACTATTTATAACCAGTTCACCACTTGCTTTTCCATTGACGTTTTCAAATTCTTCCTCTTCACTGTCAATTAACAATTTGGTAACTTTTTTCTTGATTCTTCCTATAGTTTCATTTTCATTACTTTGTTCAATATTGTTACCATCAAAATCAGCAACCTCTCTGCTCAAGGGACCATATGATACATTTTCCATGTTTGTATTCTGTTTTGCTCTGCTCTTTAATCTCTTTAGCTTTTTCTTCCTTTCCCTCTCAACTTTACCACCCCTATTCTCAACTGCTCTTTCATTACCTTGGAACATTTCTTCTATGTGGATGATTTGTACTTCATCTTCAACAAGCTCTTCCAATAGTTTCTTTTGACTGCTCACAAAGTTTTCTTTTGAGACTTGTTCCCACTCTACATTTTCCAATTCACTTTTTCTTTCATTTGACAGTTTTGTTATCATCCTTTCCCTTGCATTCTCTACTTTTCCAAGTTTCTTTTTCCTTATTTTATCTTCTGCAATAATTTCTTCATTTTCTTTATCTATCACTTTAGTATACTCCATCATTACATTACCTGCTTCTTTAC